GTTGTATCGAAACCAATTTGACAATAAATTTCATATATTGAAAATAAATAATAAATAAATAAATGTTAAAAAAACAGTAAAAAAAGTAAAAAAAATAAATAAATAAAAAATATAAGAAGATTATATACATTAGTCCTTATCCTGAGTATTTAATATTCCAAGTGTCCCATTTCCAGTGTACTACGCACCCCAAGTGAAGGAAAAAAATTACTAATGATGAAAAAATATGTAGCTCATATTTTCTCTTTTGATTTCTTCTTTATCCATGGGTTATTTAATAAATAATGCTGAACTTTGTGAAGCCCTGTATATGACAGAAGTCTTGTTTTATTGTTTCAAGCCAAGTTACATATAATTTGAGGAATCATCATACTGGTCTTAGAACATGAATGAATGTGTTGATCTCTGTCATACTTACTGAACTCCATGTATCCATGTGGTTTTAAGCACCCAAATATGGTGACAAACATTTCAAATTCTCAGAATTGTGGTAGCTATGGCGGCAGATTCTCTGAGATCGTCTCCTGATCTCAGATACCCCAATTAATTAACCAAGTGCTGGGGTTGCTTAAGAGATCCTGCTTAAGTGCCTGGAAAGGACCCATTGCCGGTACACCTCTGACACACTGTAGGATTCCAGATCCATTAGACAAACAGATTCATCATAATTTCCTAGAAGGGATTCTGGGTATTTTAAATCTTGCTTCATTCCAAGCAAAATTTAATGAATTATTTTGATTTAGTATCTTTGTAGCTAATTTTTGCATTCCAAGAATTTGGATGATTCAGATTTTTCTAGGTTTTCATTTATTTATAAATGACTCATTTTTATAGTGTTGTCTTTATAAAAATGTTTATTTATATGATTATCTTTTCCTTATACTTTCTGCCTTTCAGAAACATGTTCAAAATCAGAGATAATAATTGAAAATGGATTTTTTTCTCAATATGAACTTACATATTACTTAAATAAAGAAACACAGTATCAATGTAAACCAGGATATGTAACACCAGATGGTAAAACTTCAGGATCGGTTACATGTCTGAAAAGTGGATGGTCACCTCAACCCACATGTATTAGTGAGTAATTTATTATGTTCATATTTATTATCCTGATGACCATTGAACAAAAGTTTAAGTTAATTCTTTTCTGGGGGGAGGGGCTGACGTGATTCCCATTTGAAAAGATAAATGAAAAAGGATTAATTTTTTGCCGGTTAAGACTAATCACTTATAGAGTGTAATACCAGGACATCTTTCAGTTTACATTTTTTTCCACTTTAAAACATCCTGTGGGGGCACCTGGGTGGCTCAGTCATTTGGGCGTCCGACTTTGGCTCAGGTCATGATCTCACAGCTTGTGAGTTCGAGCCCTGCATCGGGCTGTGTGCTGACAGCCCAGAGCCTGGAGCCTGCTTCAGATTCTGTGTCTCCCCCTCTCTCTGCCCCTCCCCTGCTCATGCTCTGTCTCTCTCTCCTTTGAAAATAAATACAATTTAAAAATTTTTTTCTTTTAAATCCTGTGATTTGGAAACTGGTTAGGGAGCTTATGTGTGTTCTGGAAACTCATTTATTTCTTCTGGCTGACACCAACCTTTGTGCCTATTTTTCCTGTTTTTAGATGATAAGGTTTTGATGTCAGAATCTTTGTTGCTAGACATAATATTATGTTTGTAAGTGAAGATCTGGGTCCATAGTGTAGAATTTTAATTGAACCTGTAGAATTTATGTTTGACAATCCAGGGTAAGTCCACTTCTAAAACAGCTCCCTTAGAAAATCATAAACATCTAATTAGTAGAGACAGAAATGCTTCTAGATAGCACCAAATTCAGCTGTGTTGAAAGATTTCACTGTCCCTAGATGTTTATGAAGATTTTTCTATGAACAGTTTCCTCAGTTTATCTTATACTCCAAAGCTACGCAGTGATATTTTTGAACTGATATTTAGCATGTTCACTTTAAGTGAAGTGGATATTTGAATATCCATTTGTACTGTTTCCATTTCCTTATTTTTTTTTTCAGTTTCCTTGGTTACTATGAGCACTAGCTACAGAAAGAAATGATAAAAGTGGCTCCCATATCAAACTCATTTTACACTAAATTGTAATTAGCTTCCATTATAACACTTATTATGGAAGAGAATCTCTCTCTGTCTCTCTCTCTCTCTGTCCCTTTTCACTGGTACAGTTTTGCTTTTTTTTTTAAAGCTTTAAGGTAGCTGGTTACATAACAGTATAAAATTATTTAAATATCACCATCCTATTAGCAATAATTGAAACTTTTAACATTTTACTTTCTTATAACTAATTATAAAAATTAGAGTTATCGCTCCATTAAATCTTGGTAAGTTTAAAAGAATATACAGCCTTTAGGAAAATATTTGGGAAAGAAAATGAGCATGTGAGTTTTAGAAACTATTATGTTTTAAAGTAGAGTTTTATAGAATGTTTATAAATTAACTTGCATTTTTGAAAACCAATCCTATTCAACTAATCCATTTTTCTCTGGCATACTTGCCACACTGCTAATGAGTTTGGCGTTTTAAGTCACAAAAACATATTCTGTTTTGCTAGAAAAAGTATGATGCATCTGTAGTACCCTATTTTATTATAAGCATGGCATAAACACAAAATTATAATTGACAGAGGAAAGTGTTCTTTGACAAACTTCCTAAATATTTAAGCAATAAGGAAACTGCTATGTAGAAACATGGTTTTTCATTTTGAGTAACTTTCAGGGCAATGACTTATCACTTGTATTCTTAGATTATTTTAATATAATACTGAATTTACTAGCACATACTAATTGATAAAGCTTTTTTTACTTCCTTGGGATGAGACTTAATTACATCGTCCATTAAATAATATTAGAATTGAAATCTTCAATTCTGTTATGCATTAGAATCTTGTGACATGCCAGCATTTGAGAATGCCAAAGCCAAAAGCAATGTCACATGGTTTAAACTCAATGACAAGTTGGACTATGAATGCCACGATGGATACGAAAGCCAAGATGGGCGCGCAGGTTCAATAGTGTGTGGTAAGGATGGTTGGTCTCATAAACCAATATGTTATGGTAAGTACCATTTTTCCAGGTATTTTTTTTTCAGGATTAACAAAATTAACAAAACATGTTTAAGATATCCCAATTTGAACAAATTTGCATTATTTAAAGTCATTTTGGGGGCATCTGGGTCGCTCAGTGGGTTGAACCTCAGACTTTGGCTCAGGTCATGATCTCACAGTTCTCGGGTTTAAGCCCCATGTGGGGCTCTATGCTGACAGTTCAGAGCCTGAAGCCTGCTTCAGATTCTGTGTCTCACTCTCTCTCTCCACCCCTCCCACTCACACTCTGTCTCTCTCTCTCTCAAAAACAAATAAAAATGTTAAAAAAAAAATAGATTTCCATTTTGAACAAACTTGCATTATTTGAAGTCATTTTTAAGGAGTATGATTAAAATTAAGGTGTCTTCTTCTGATTTAATGTAAACTGGGAGAAGAGGGTGTTTGAAAGCCCAAAGACAATAACACAGTGTTTCCTATGGCCCATATACATGGTATGTTTGTAAACAAAGAATAATTGTGTTTGTTATTCTAAATGCAAGTTTTCATATTATTTAAAACTGGGTTCTTTTAGTGTGTGATATAAGAAAACCAAATTATAGTTTCTGACAATTTCCTCAGCTATTTTGCTCCTGAGTTTCTGCTTTCACACCTTCTGCCTTGAGTGTTAATTTCTGTAGGCCCTGAGAGAAGCTCTTTATTTTCTGACTTGGACAAGTTCTGTGGACTATTCTATGAATCTCCTTCATGTTTGCTAATCCACTATTTTCCAGGATTAGGAGTAGGACTTGAATCTGTGGAAAATTTGAGTGGCTATAGAATGTTCCACACCAAGGGAACAGTCTGTGCAAAACTTTGATAACAAAACAATATTTGAGAAATATCAGGGTGAGCAGATTCTACTTAAGATGTGGGAGAATTTTATGAACTAAGCCTGGATAGGAGGCAAAGAAAAGATTACCCAGGTTATTTCCCAGGCATATCAGCATTTAGATTAGTTTTATGACTGATAAAAAGCTACAAAGGAGTCTTAAAGGAAGAAATATAATCATTTAGATTTTTGAAAAGTTTTTTGTTTTTTTCTTTTTTTTTTTCCCACATGCTGTGATTGTGGTGGGCAGGAGAAGATTCGGGAGTTTATGCAGCATGAACAAGTATGGGGATTGGGATAGGATGATGGGTGATGAGATGCAAAGCAGAACACATTCAAAATCTATGTTGTTGGTAGAAAACACAGGTGATGTTACTAAATATTAGATGTAAGAGAGAGTAATAATGAAGGGACTCACTGCCTTTTTTTCATAAGCAAACATGTAAATGGCAGTGCCTTTTTGTAAGGTGGTGCTGACAGAAGAAAGAGCGCTTTGGGAGGAACATCCCAACTTTTGACTTGAGCACATTATGGTTGAGCTGCCCATGGACAATCAAATTTGGATATGTAAACTACAGAGTTGACTATGTGGGTCTAGCCAAGAAATACATATTTGGAATTGTTACTGCATAAATGAGGATATGAAATTGGAAAAGAATACAGAATAAAAAGAGAAGAGAGCTCAAGACTGAGCCATGAAGCATTCCAACGTTTAGGTGTCACGTGGAAGATAATAGATGGCAGAGTAGATAGGAAAAGGAGGACCCAGAGAATTGGGAGAAGAGAACATTTTGGAGTGAATGTTCTCCTAGATGTGGAGAGAAGAAAATGATTGAAGGATGAGGAAGTCTAAGTGAGTCCAGTGGAGTCAGCCTGGCGGGGTTCTAGCAAATTCCAATCCCATCAGCTGGCTAAACATGTATCTTAGGGCAACAACCACACTTACTTGCAGCTTCATTCACTCTTCCTCATCTATAAAATGTTTTAATATTTACAAAGGTTCTAATATTTCAAAGGATTGGTTTTTTTTAAATATAATTATAATATTCAAATTCCAGTTAATTTATAAATGAATTAGCAAGATAGGAGGATTCCAAATAAGAAAAATGCATTTTTAAATAATACTCGGGAATGTCACGAATGCCACAAATGCCACAGACTTGACAAATTTGAAGGGATGGTTTTAGACATTCCTAATTTGAATCAGAATAATCAACAATTTAATAGATAGTAAAAATGATAGGTTTAATAATAATAATTGTATATTATGTAAATATTTAGAACTCCCAGAATATGCCTATGTGGCCTTGAACATAGTTCTTTATTTTGTTTTATTTTTAGTTTAATTTCCTTACTAATATAATTTATAATACAGTGTTTAATTAAGCTATTTTAATAGTTTCTTTTTTATGCACTTAAAATAAGACATTTATTATGCTAAGTAAAAGGTTTTAATTTTTCACTTTCCCAAAACACTGAAACAGCACATGGCATAGTAATTGTAGCACACAAATGGATACAGGCAGTCAATAAGCCCCGAAAACGGTGAAGTCTCTCTTTGGGACTCCTTAAAAACTCCATGCTCTCAAGTGATCTTTATCAAAGTTATCAACAACCAGAGGCATTACCTCAGAAAAAAAATGTTAGTATACGAGATACCTCCACTCCTAGGAATTGGAACCTTCCCGTAAGGGAAACGCTAAATCCATCTCTCCCCAGCTGAGCTGCAGCAGAGAAGTCTCAAGCTTGCTTTTATTTCAGGCGACACTGGCAGGGCTCCCAGTGTGAGAAAGGATTATACTAAAAGTACATTTAATATTTCAGCTTTCACTGTGGGGCCTCCATTTAAATTGGGTTTCAAGTGGAAGGAGAGGGGATGTGAGGAAAGAAATCAAATTGTTCTGCAGACCAAAATTATTCTACAGAATGCAGAAATGGGGACAGCTAACTGTCAACTATGGAGAGGCTGACTTGTACAAGTGGCCACTTCAAGCAGATGGCCTGAGGAGATGGTATCTGGGACAGTAGCCCTTGGCAAGAGTGCTGAAGATCCATAAAGAATTTTGTTAAATCTTCACGTTCTAACCTGATATTGGTACAGGATATATTAATGCTCTCTTTGAAGTGGTAGCCCAATACTGAATGTCTCCTGAGCACCATTTAAAGCATGCTCAAAAATCCCCTCCGTCATCAACCAGCCTCCCAGGAGTTTCACTTCCACTTCCTTTGATCACACCAACTGAGGCAGGAACTTCACTGCTGCCCTGTTAACAGGCATCCAGTCTCAGTGTGAAAGAACTCATTCTAAGACAGCTTTTTAAAATTTTTATTTATTATTATTTTTTTTTAATGTTTATTATTTGAGAAAGAAACAGAGAGCAAGCAGAGGAGGGGGAGAGAGAGAGAGGGAGACACAGTATCTGAAGCGGGCTCCAGGCTCCGAGCTGCCAGCACAGAGCACAACGAGGGTCTCCAACCCGAGATCATGACCTGGGCCGAAGTTGGCCGCCTAACTGACTGAGCTACCCAGGCGCCCCTCTAAGACAGCTTTCAAAATCAATCTCACTCTTTTTGTTGTTCTGCTTGTACCTTAACTATGGCATACAGGATTTGCTCCTTCCAAAGCTGGTAGAGCCAGTAACCCCAGTGTTATCTGCAGATCAGTTGAGGTACTTTGTACCTGTGAAGGTGTTTTCTTGGATTCTGTTTGCTCTGAAAATGCGGGCTTGAATGGCCAAGGAAAACACATTCTGTCTCATCATTCAGGAATGCTTCGGGGCATGCATGGAGCAGTGTAGACAGGAGGAGATGCAGGCCAGACCTTTCCCACTCAGAGCCTCGCCCTTCTAGAAGAGCATTTGGCGCTTCCTCCTCAGAAATCCCCATTTCTGGCCGTTTCTGAAGGCACGGTAGTCCTGACCCCCAAGGTTCTCCTTTGTGGCACCATCCTCTGTGCTGTCGCTGGCCCTGGGCCCTCCTCCCGGGCAGCCCCTCACCAGAGCCACCACCACCACCACAGGAGACCCCAGCACGATGCTCTCCTGTAGGAGCACAGGACAGATCCACAGTCTTGCTTTAGGCCCCTGCGGAAGCTGAACTTCTTAATGATTCTTTCAAACATGGAAGCGCTTTGTTGCCATTGTGAAGCGAGAGGTTGACCTCAGCATTCTTCACTTCCGTTGATAACTCATTTTGTGAATTTCCATCTACTTGAACCGCAGGGCGTATGCATCCAGGAGTTCGGGCACGGGCGCTCCCCCTGTGCTCCTTCAAGGCCACATAGCAGCTTGTCCGAGTCCTCCCCTGCCCTCTTCACCTTCCCGAGGTAGCCGCCCAGAGCCCCTACTCTGCCCCTCATGCTGCGTGTTCTGTGGTGTGGTAGCCTGACGACACGCCTTTGCCAGTCAGCAGAATGGATCTCAGTATGAACCTGCAGACGGACGTTGAGCTTCATGGAAGCCACGATGTGGACGTGGGGAAGTTGACGCGCAGCCGCCAGGCCAGGTCGAAGAAGATGAGCAGCCTGCGGGTCAGCCCCTTGCAAAGACCCCATAGGAGCAGGCGGCGGCGAGCGCGACAGGCGGACACCCAGGCCCGACACAGCCGCCTCCAGCCAGACCGGTGCCCGCCGCCCGGGGCCGCGTCGCCGCGTCGCCCCGCCCCCGGCCTCGGCTCCGGACGCTGGGCTGCGCTCCGTGCGCCGAGGGAGCAAGGGAGGCTGCAGCGAGGCCGGGGGCGGAGTCCACGCGTCACACTCGGGAAGCGCCTCCGCGACTATTGGTTTCTTTAAGACACGTTAGAAATGCCTTGTGTGTGTTCTGATTCCCCAGTTGTATTTACATTAAACAAAACTGCCAATTGTTATTTGACTGCAACTTTAAAATGGTAGCATCAAGGTTTTTTTTTTAATGTGAGGGAATACTTTTATGTTTTGAGAGTAAAAAACAATGTAACATTATATTTATAAATGTCAGTTATAAAATCAGAACCAGTATAAGCAAGTTGACCTTACAAATACATTTTCAGGGTACCTATGTTGCTCTTCAATGCCTTAATAATTCTCAGGGTCCCTTATGAATTTAGAAGGTATACAAAACCTAACGTAAATTTTTCTGTTGCTCCTCTGTATAAGCAGTACCCAGCACCTCATTTTTATACGACACATATAAAATATACTTTGGCAATGATTAATTATATATTCTCACTAAATTATTTTAACTCTTTTTATAGAAAAAGAATGCAAGATTCCTGAAATAGAAAATAACTTAAATACTCAGCCCAAAAAAGAAAAATATAAAGTCGGAGATGTGTTGAAATTCTTCTGCAGACAAAGACTTAAAAGAGTTGGACCAGATTCAGTTCAGTGTTACGACTTTGGGTGGTCCCCTAATCTTCCAACATGTAAAGGTGAATATTTATCTTCCAGTGGCTGAAACAAGAATTAGGATTTGGGATATTAACTTTTTTTGTTTCCACTCTTAATTTTTGTTGGCTTCAAGTCTCTGTGTTTGTAATCTAATGCATTAAACCGGGATATGTGTTGGGTAATAGATATCTCAGATTTTCTTTTTTAAGAAATTAATCTTCAATTGTTTCTTGATATATGTAGTGGCATTATCCATAGATACATATACGATGCCTTACACGTTTGTTACTTTTCTTCTTGCCTACATTTCCATCATTAATATTGAAACTATAGCATGGGCCTTACTTCAGCTTTCGTTAGGTAATCTAAACAGTATTCAAGCAATTTATACTCAATTCAGGGAATTCAATCACATGTATGGCTTAATCAAAGTTAAAATATGTTGATAAAATGCTTACCTAGGGGCACTTGAGTGGCTCAGTCGGTTAAGCGTCAGACTTCCGCTCAGGTCATGATCTCGCTGTTTGTGAGTTCGAGCCCCATGTCTAGCTCTGTGCTAACAGCTTGAACCCTGGAGCCTGGGTCGGATTCTGTCTTCCTCTCTCTCTGTCTCTCCCCTGCTTATGCTCTGTCTCTCAAAAATGAATAAACATTAAAAGATTTAATAAAAAAATGCTTGCCTCAAACACTGGCATTTTTTCAAACAGTTTTGATAACTGCTGTAGAATATGAATATTGAGATAATTTACACAACCATATTGAGGAATTGGTTTGCATACATCTTTAGAATATCTAGATTTTTATTTTTTTTTTATATTAAATTTTTTTTTCAACGTTTATTTATTTTTGGGACAGAGAGAGACAGAGCATGAACGGGGGAGGGGCAGAGAGAGAGGGAGACACAGAATCGGAAACAGGCTCCAGGCTCTGAGCCATCAGCCCAGAGCCCGACGTGGGGCTCGAACTCACGGACCGCGAGATCGTGACCTGGCTGAAGTCGGACACTTAACCGACTGCGCCACCCAGGAGCCCCTAGAATATCTAGATTTTTAAACATGTTTTCTGGGTTTCAATATACTTCCAATATACTAGTTCAGTGTAAGTAATAGCACTGGGTTAGGGTGCCACGGTGGCTCAATTGTTGAGCATTTCACTCTGCACTTCATCTCAGGTCATGATCCCTGGGTCATGGAATCGAGCCCCATGTTGGGCTCCTCGCTGAGCATAGAGTCTCCTGAAGATTCTCTCTCTCTCTCCCTCTCTCTCTCTCTCTCTCTCTCTCTCTGCCCATCTCCCCCACTCGTGCTCTCTGTCTCTCTAAAGTAAAAATTTTGAAATAAGAACTGGGAAATATGTTTCTAGTTTAAGCACTATTTCTTTTTCATTACTTAAGAAGGCTATAATAAAGTATATTATAAATAATACAAATTAATTGAAGAAAAAATCTCTCCATTTTATTCTTTTTAAGTTGTGAAATAGGTAATTTGATCATTATTTACACATT